ATTTTAAAAAGATGCAGTTGCACAGAATTTATACAGTGTTTTTAGCAACTGACAGCTGCCCATAGGTCTAAGTGTCTGTTTTGGGACAAATTCAGATCCTTTAACCATCTCAGTTTTTCCTTAGTATTTTTTAAGTCATGCTGTCCACACTGGCATAGGAATTGTTCTAATTTATGCTGATCTAGGCCTTTTATAATTTAACTGTAGACCTTTTAGCATGTAGAGAACAGGACTGAAATGTAAATTATTCCATAGACATGAATTTGGTATGTAAAGCCTTCATCACACATTGTGAGACTTAGGCTTGATACATAGAATGACACTAACTTGGCTTCATTTTGCTTGTTTCACAGGGAGACCAGAGTTCTTAAGTATTATATTTTGATCCATCACTGGTTTAGATAAAAGAAAAGCTTTGTTTTGTATTTCTACCCAGAGTCCCCACAAAAGAATTTCTAATTTGTAGCTACTCTTAGGCAAATGTCTTATTACCTCATTTGGTTTCATATGAAAATGTTTTAATTCAGGTCTTCCAATAGGCCACACAGGTGAAAAACTTCCCCTTTGTGCTTAAATATTTTGTTTTTCCAGTCCTCAGAACTGGAATTTGTGTCACCAAGTCATGCTTATTTTTCTCTAGAGAAATGCAATTTGTTGAAATACGCACGTGAACGATGTCAGCGCACCTGGGTGGAAGGCGGGCGAGGGCAGAGGGCGATGTCATGCAGCACTGTGGTTGCTTTCCTGGGCCAACAGTCTGGTATCTGAATGGCTTTCCTTGTTTCTCAGTGTTCACTCAAGATTTAAACTTCTTAAAGAGCAATATTAATGAGGCCTAACGTGGAGGTCGGCACATGGCATGTACTTCTTGACCTGGGAGAGGTGATGATTAGATCTCAGGGTCTGCACAGAATAGAACGATACAAACTCGGCAGTACATCTGATGGTTCCTAGAGTAAGCTGTAATGTGATTATCTCAGGAACATTTATTTCTGTCGCCGCGCATTTTGCGATATTATGCCTTTGGTCAGACTGGGACGTAGAAGCAGGTTAAATCCTGACTGGATGAATGTAGCTTTTTGGCAGCTTCCTTTTCTTTCCCTCCCACCTTCCCTTTCTCCTTTATTTTTCTTAAATGTGCGTGTGATTTGTGTGCTTGTCAGTCAGTCCCTCAGTTGGTCCAGTGTGAAACCAAGGTTAGGAGCATGTGTGGCAGCAAATTTTGTGGCAAGATGGCTTGGAGAGGTGCTCTGATCTTTATAACATGGCCACCCTTTTTATGAAGAAAACATTTGAAGGTATGAGTGAACATCATTTACTCATTCAGAAGATATTTATTGTGTACCTCCTATCTTGCATTATAATATTGAAATTAAATCTAAATTAGATCATGAGCTCTATGAGAATAAGACCTCTTTTCAGTTATCTTTGAATCCTCAGGATCTGCATAGGACCCGAGACAAAGCAAATAGTTGAATACTTATTGAAAGGAAATTGTGGAGGGTCAAACGTGGCATCCAAAATGCAGTACTTGGTGGACGGGCTGCCACCCCCGGCCCCCACCCCAGTATATCCTCGAGACATGAGTCTGGCCTTCCAATCATGTTCCCTGACAGCAGTGAAAACCATCTGTACCCACAATGTGTGCACATTAGCATGTGCAGGCGTTTATGCGATACTGCAGGAAAAATGCTTAAGAATAGCAGCTCTGGACCAGACTGCCCAGGTTGGCATCCTGCCTCTGCCACTTAATGCCCATATGATTGGGGAGAGTTGTTTCATCTCGGTGCCTCAGTTGCTTCATCTGTCAGTTAGAGATACCAATAGTGCCAGTCTCATAGCATTTGTGAGGATTAAATGAGTTGTTAACGTATAAAGCAAAATAGGCCTGGCACAAGTAGATGCCAGCAGGTTCTATAGATATCCCACTTGAGTAATGAAGTTTATAAATTATAAAGCATTAATGTAAAAATTTTAAAAGAATGAGATTATAGTAGAAAGTCTAATGTATTAATCTTGTATAACATTGGTTTATCTTGAGCCCTCTGTGTTGGATACCACTGGCCTGGAGTACCACGGTCCTGGAGAAGCCAAGCAAATAATTCCTTCACCTTCTGCATGCTTCCCCCTCTGCTTATGGCACACCTCACCCCAGGATTAACAGGATTCAGGATCACTGCATCTCTGTATTTTTTGCGCCCAGGTTATTTTGTCGCTTGTTAGCTCCCTTCATTTAAAAGGAAGTGGCTGGGATCCTTAGGATGGAATAGGGTCAGGTGTTAGGGAAGAAAGCGGGGGCAGGGGCAGGAGAGCTGTGCAGAGGCTGCTGGGCCTCAGCTCCTTGCTCCACCTGTGGGGGAAGCTTTCAGGGCCAGGCTGCTGCTCCAGCCAGAGCCTTCCAAGAGGATAGCCCCTTGCTAACTGTGTGGAAAGCTCCTTGTCCCATGGAACTTGGGGTTCCCAGCTGCTCTGCCATTGTCTAGAGTATTCTTTCTGGTCCCTGGGCAGTTACGGTAATAAGGCATTGGGATGGAGGGGGCGTACCTCTAATGCTATAGGAACAAAGGAGTGATCTGAGTTACAACTGTATCCAGGCCTGGCCCCAGATTCTGTTACTTCCTTTTTAATCATCTGTGGCTTCAAAGGGAACTCCTCCTTGTGGTGTTTGCAGTAAGAATGTAATTTGTAAAACATACCCCCTTGAAAATCATCATGACCGTAGTTTCTGGAAATTCGTCTCTGTTAGGCACTGTGCCCAATGCCTTTCATGTGTTCATATCTCGTTCAGCCCTCTCAGCCACCCGACTACTGTTGACACTGTTTTAAAGACGAGATCAAAGAGAGCCAGGATTCAAACCCAGGCCCCGACCACAGAGTTGGCTCCACCATCAAACTCCACAACCTACTTCTAAAGTCGCCTGTCTCAGTGTCAAAAATGAAATATTTATGAAAGACTTAGTGGGGTCCAGTGCTGTAGAAATGAGGCATTATTGTAGTAATCTAAGTCAGCAGTATAGTAAGAGCTAGTGTTCTGTTGAGTGTTTACTCTATGCCAAAGGCTTTATGTGCATCCTTCTGTCTCAGTCTCACAAGGTGGATGATATTGCAGATAACAAGGAAACTGGGAGTCAGGAAGGTGAGGTTCCTTGCAGGGGTGCACAGCTCACAGATTGTAAGTGGGACCTAGAGGCCCAGATCTGCTCACCTGCAGAGTTGTGGCTTTAACTTCACCCAGATGTTATCACCTCCCTGAAGTTTGAGGGACCTCAGGGGCCTACGAGAGATGAGGCTTGAGCTAAAAGGATTTTCCCTAAATCATAAAAGTAGCTGGTAATAGAGCTGGAGCTAGAAGTCCCAGGGTTGATTTGGTTGATCGAAGGATGCAAACACACACACACACACACACACACA